CCACCTTGATCCTCACAACAATTTGTCATTTTCGCCGCTCCCTACAGGATGCGAAAGGAAACGAACGCCGAGTAACACAACAGTTTACCGTGAATGGAGACCCGTTGTGGGAATACGAGTTTCTACCCGGGTTTTTCTTGCGCACCGATCACGGATGGAATGTGAGTCGAATTTCGTGGCTGTCGTAGTGGTGAATTTCACAATGAATAGTAGTACCATGTTATTCACTGTTACATGCCAGGAATGGTTAACACCGTTGGTCCTGGTATATCTTTTTATTTGCAACCCTAACTTTTGTCACACATAGAACATGAGGCATTGTAAACGGTTAACCCCACCCCTTCCTACAAGAATTGCAAGCTTCATCGGACACGAAAAAGCAGTTCTAACTTGAGCACCGCATGCAAGCTAGTTTCGAATTGCGAACTGAAAATGACTGGGTTAGAGGGGAAATTACTGGGATGGGCTACGCGGGAGTACTGTTTCTAATTATTGTGGTTGACAAAACCATGAAAAGGCGATGGGATCTGAGACAAAACATGACCAAGCTGCCTATCGGCAAAGTTGAGTGGTGGTGCTTGGATCCAAACCTTGTACCTCCAGGCCGAGAGCTGGCCACTGACTGCTACTGACTGACTATTTAACCACCACCGTCCTCACTCATATAAATTCACATATATTCGAAACGATCTGGCGAGATTTCGCTTGCTCCTGACCGTGTACCCATGCACAGTCAATTTATCATTCGTTCACCAATGAAAAACCCTGGAATCAGATGCACAACACTTTCATCTGTCTCAGAAATGGGTACGACTAAACCTAGATGAATCAAAGTGGAACCAGGGACTAGCGGAGAGAATTAAAACTGAAGATTCATGGCAAGGGAGATTATTTACTTCAATTTATTATGGCTAAAACTGATTCATGATGTTTCGTCAAAGTTTCGTACGGAAGTCGTCCTCAGGGTCGCCCGGTGTTATTGTGAGCGTAAAGCCGCAGGGTTTGCACAGTTGAGTGTGGACTGTTGGCTAGGACTTTGTTTGTGCGTGATTACCGTTGTTTCATCCGGAGCTCATTCACCACTAGAATGTATTTTCTGCTGCTCGACGACAATGCTCGATTCACTTACCTGAGTGCTATCGGGCATAGGAGACTACACATTGACATGGTGTCACCAAACGACCTGCACAGATTGACTTTTGTTTAACCAAATATCTACTTATGCCTGGAACGTCAATGGATAGAGCGGTATTTGTTCATCATTTCTTCACATGCACAAACTAACTGCAATCTCAGTTCAGGAAAGGACGAATTTTACAGTAAACTCAATGAATTCATTCGGTTGAGCCGCAGCTGACAGGCAGTGTTAACGAGCAGTTTGGAAAACTGAGCGCATCAAAAGCCTGTCTAGATGTGTGTGTGTGTGTGGGGGG